TTTTGTTTGTTTTTTGGTTTTTTGGTTTTGGGGTTTTTTTGATACTGGGGATCAAACTCAGGTCCTTGCTCTTGCGCAGCAGGTGGCAAAACCACTGAGCTAAATCCGGGCCTTTTGTTTGTTTTTTGAGATGAGGTCTCCCTGTGTAGTTTAGGCTGGGCTTGAACTCCCTATGTAGCTCAGGTAGCCTCGAACTGGAGGCAATCCTCCTGCCTCAGCCTCCAGAGCGGAATCACTTAGTTATGAGCCACCACACCTGGCCCCTTGGCCTAATTAACAGCTGCCCCTATTGTGTCCAGGAGGAGGCCAGCGGAGGTGAAGGAAGTGATCATGTGCGGAACCTGCAGAGCCAGGTGGAGGGAGTCAAGAATATTATGACCCAGAATGTGGAGAGGATCCTGGCCCGAGGGGAAAACCTGGACCACCTCCGAAATAAGACAGAGGATCTGGAAGCCACGGTGAGATGGGAGCCTTCTGGGCTGGCAAAAGACAGGTGGGAGAGAAGGGGTTTCGGGTGGGGAGAGAAGTTTCTGTGTGCTTGTGGAGATGGAGACGAAATGACCAGGAGGGATGGGTGTATGCTGCCATTGGTTGCCTTTTTGCCTAGTTTGGAGATAGATACAACCTGAGCCCCGACTTCTGGTCCATCTCTGCTCCACTGAGTGGCATGGGATCCAGGGACTGGGGTCTGGGGTTGGGGGGACGTGAGAGGCATTTTCCAGACAGATACATGGTTCAGGCAGGTGCATTGTTAGACTTCTTTCCTGTGAGACTGATTTTCCCTTTGAAGCTTGCCCTTTACCTTCTGTTAGACCTGACCGCCCCTAGGCAAACTATCAGCTCTGGGAAAAGCCTTCTCACTTTCTTCAGGAGTTATTCAGCAGGGGGGCAGAAATTGCTAGAGTCTTGCTGAGTCTGCTTTTAAGAGAAGCTGGGAAGCACAATGCAATTCTTTGATCCCAGGGTCCTCTTTCAGCTGAGGGTTGGAATACCATCTCCAGCACAATTGCAAGACCTCCTCTCTCTAGCCAGGGGCCCAGACCAGCTGCTCGGGAAGGCACTAACTCCAAAGTCCAGCCAAGGTTAGACCCTCAGAGTCTATGTCCAGCAGGGACTGGCTCTGGCTCTCTGAGTCCTGTGTGTAATCTTGAGTCTCTGGCGCTCCTTGGTCTCCTTGGGACTTAGTGCCTGCCTCCACAGCCTATTGCGTACGTGGCCAAGACAGACTTGTTGTCTACTGTTCAAGCTGGGGAGAGGAGGAGTTCCTCTCACTTCCAGCTGCCTGTGCCATCTTGGACCTCAAGACAAGGAGTCCTGGAGCCCAGAGATTTGCCCCTGGGTCTGCCTCCTAAGGGTAGATTGTGCTGCCAGGGTCATAAGCAGGCCTGGGTGTGAGCATGTGTCAAAGCCCCTCAGGAGTCTCCTCCCCCACATTCAGGTTGAGAAGTCCCAGGAGCCCAGGAATTCTAAATGTGAACTTGACCTCACTGACTGTTAGGAAAGTATATTTGTCAAAGTAAGAGGACAGAGCATCATTTATTTATTTATTTTTCGTACTGGGGATCAAACTTGGGACCTTGTGCTTTCAAGGCAGGCAGTGGATCCACTGAGCTAAATCCCCAGCTGGAGCATCTTTTTTTTCACAACTTTTTACTGTACCTTATAACACAAATATTTATTTATTTGTTTTATCTTACTATGTAGTTCAGGCTGGCCTTGAACTTACTATGTAACTCAGGCTGGCCTCAAACTCACAGTGATCCTCCTGCCTCAGCCACCTGAGTGCTAGTATTACAGGCATGTGCCACCATGCCCGGCAACATAAATATATATTTATTTCTGGGCTGGGGATTTAGCTCAGTGGTTCCAGCTCGAAAGCGCAAGGACCTGAGTTCGATCCCTGGTACCAAAAAAAAAAAAAAAAAAATCCCTCAATAAATATATATTTATTTTTGGTTTTTAGAGACAGGGTGTCACTATGTATTTCAGGCCAGCCTGGAACTTACTATGTAGCCCAGGCTGGACTTGGACTGAGAGCAATCCTTCTGTCTCAGCGTCCTGAGTGCTAGGATCACAGGTGGGCGACTCCAGGCCAGGCACAACACAACTATTTAGACAAGTGGCCTGGGGAATCTATACTCTTCAGTGGGAGGAGCCAGTGGGTCACTCACTCTATCTTATTCCCAACAGTCCGAGCACTTCAAGACCACATCGCAGAAAGTGGCTCGAAAGTTCTGGTGGAAGAATGTGAAGATGATCATCATCATCTGTGTCATCGTTTTTATCATCGTCCTCTTCATTATCCTCTTTGCCACTGGTGTCATCCCCACCTAGGCAGCCCCTCCACCCTGCCCTCCTCTTCAGGGGCCACCTGTCATAATTGGGACCACGAGGGCCCTCTCTCCTGTCCTCTCCACAGGAATGCTGCTTGGTCACCCTGAAGCCCCTGTGCCACGTGGTATGCCCTAGAGAGCACCTTGGTTCCTGGAAGGAGAGAGCTGGACTATGGCTGCATTTCATGGGTCCTTAGAGTGGGTTGGAGAGACTGTGAGGACCCTAAATGTGGGTGGGAACCTGTTGGTGGCTGGTGGGCAATAAAGACCTTTCAGTATCCCTATTTGTATCTTCTCCACTTTCATTTCACCCTTGGCCATTCCATTTCTTGTCTTCCAGAGGTGACACTGTGACATTGGAGGCCCAAGTTGTTGGAAGAGTGGAGAGCATATGTTTGGAAAAGAAAGATGAAAGCTTCCTATTGTTTGGTTTTGTTTTCTTTTTTTTGGTACTGGGGATCGAACTTGAGTCCTTGTGCTTGCAGGGCAGGTGACAGAATCACTGAGCTAAATCCCCGGCCCATATTTATGTATAATTTTTCTGGTACCAGGGATTGAACTCTGGGCCCTGCACCTGCCAGGCAGGTGGGACACCACTGAGCTACATCCCCAGCCCTCCAGTACATTGTTAAGTGGCCCTTGCTAAATTGCTGAATTGCCCTGGCTCAAACTGTGATCCTCCTGCCTCAGCCTCCAGAGTGCTGGGATTACAAGTGTGTGTCACCAGGTGGGGCTAAGGCACCTATTTTTATTTCACCCTGTTCCATCCACTGTTGCAGGTCTCAAGAATAGCAGGTTTCTGAGGATCTTGCCATAATGACAATTCAAAGCATTTTGGGGTAGCATGCAGGATTCAATGTCCCCCTTGTGTCCTGCATGCCCCTTTATTTCTCTTCCTCTGGGAGTAATAACTGAGACACGAGATCTACTGGGAAAGAAAATGTAGAATCTGGTGTAGGGTCCCCTGTCTCTTCTGCCACTGCCATCTCTTTATTTTTATTTTTTAAAATTTTACATTTTGAGACAGGTCTTGCTAAGTTGACCAGACTGGCCTGAAGATTGTGATTCTTCTGTCTCAGATCTGAGCAGCTGGGTTACAGCATGTGTCACTGAAGCCAGCTTCCCACGTCTCTTCCATGGCCCTGATGTCATCCAGAGGCAAAAGTCAGAGGAAACAGGCTGCTTTTTCTTTTCTGGTGATTCTGTGTGTTTGGTCTCCCCCTGCCCTTTGAGGACACAGCCCACCACAGGTCTCAGCCATCGAGAGGGGGCGGGCATCTCTACCCAGCTGAGAACAGTCAGCGTCACAGGACAGGACTGACAGCCCTCCTTCCGCTTCTTGCACAATGAGCCCTTCTGTCCCCAGGCCTCCTTTCTTCCCACCAGGTCCCACGGTCATTGTCCTGCTTTCTCTGAGCCTGGTTTGCCTCCTTTGCCACAAGGGTTCTTGCCATCTGACTTGACCCCATTTCCACCACAGGTTTTATAGAATTGGAAATGACTTATGGTGGGAGGAAGTGGGGAAGGGGCGAGGTTGTAATTCAGGTTCTAGACTCATGCCTTGAATTCTGGGCAGGGCAGGGGGAACACAGAAGAGACCTCGGGATGCCCTTGACCCAAAGATATTCATCTCCTCACTCCTTAGCACACTGCTGGAGGCAAAGCTGTACTGAGGGGAGCAGGGGTCTGTGCCTGAAGAGGCTCAGTTCCGAGGAGAGAAGCCTCACTCCCTGGCTCAGGAGGGGCCTCATTTGGGATGTTGGGGGTGGCATGGGTTGGGAGGAGGACAGGGGGACGTGGTTTCTCTGCAGCATTGAGTAGAGAATGGGTAGATTCAGCTCAAGAAGGCTCTGCAGAGGTAGCAGATCCGACAGCATCCCTAAGGAACAGGTTCACTGGAAAGCCAGAGCTAGCATCTTCCCCATCTGGTTCTGTCACACCCACCCCTGGTTTTTTCTTTGTCTTTTTTGGCACTGGAGATTGAACTCAGGACCTTGAGCTTTCGAGGCAGGCAGTGGCACCACTGAGCTAAATCCCTGGCCCCTTTGTTTTTTGAGACAGGGACTCACTGTGTAGCTCAGGCAGTCTTTTTTTTTTTGGTACTGGGGATCGAACTTGGGTCCTTCTGCTTGTGAGGCAAGCGGTGGAACCACTGAGCTAAATCCCTGGTCCATCTTGAACTCACTATGTGGCCCAACCTGGTTTTGAATGCTCAAAAATCTTCCTGCCTCAGCCTCCCAAGTGCTGGGATTACAGGCGTGTGCCACTTCACCTGGCCAAGGGTGAGGGAGTAACTCTTAGTTACGGGTGAGGTACAGTCACCAAGGTGGGACATCCCCCTCCTGGCCTGTTCATGGCATTTTCAGGGCCCAGCGTAGTGGCTGACAACAACCCTCACACTTGTGCCTGCCCTTCCGGCTAATTCCTGTCCACTCGATCTCCTATCACCATCTCTGATGCAACCCAGAGGGGCACCAGGACTCACTCCTGCGCTCATTTCACACAAGGCACCCCTTAGGGGTCTTCAGCGTGCAGAACTGACGCACACCAGGTCCCCAGTTCTCCAGGCAGGGGTGTCATCAGAAGTTGGCACGGGTGGCCCGGCAGGAGGCGCCCCACGGACCCTGGTCGCTGTCCCCTCTGCTTTGCTTTCGATTTGGTCTCTCGCCTCCGCCCCGCCCGCACGGCCCCGCCCCGCGCTCCGCTTCCTCCGGGCTGCGCGCGTACTGAGCGCTCAGCGGGCTTCGGAGTCTGAGCACAGCAGCGGCAGCGCAATGGTGAGGACCGGGGCTGGGCTCACGGAGGGAGGGCGGGCCGAGCAGGACCCGGGCCAACCCTCTTCCCGGGGAGCTGGGGGCAGCGGCACGCTCCCTGTCGGGGCTGCGCAGAGTGGTCTGCACCCCTGGTCGCCTGCCCCGGCTTTGGAGCCAGACTCCGGGCTGGCTTCCCGGCTTTGTGACCCCAGCCGAGTCACTTAACCTCCCTGAGCCTCACTTTCCGCACCTTGAAGTGGGGTCAGCAATACCTGCCTGATGCAACCCTTGGGAGATTAAGGGGATCCCATGGCGGGGACCTCGAGGCACTCGGAACCTTCTGCTAGGAAGTGGTGGGGACGAGGTGACCTCCCAGCTCCTCCAGAGCTAAGGGCCAGGCTTGGCCTGAGAGCTGCAACCTGAGCAGAGGCGGTGGCACGGGCTACTCCAGCCCCATGGCAGTGTTGGAGCAAACACGGACAGAAACTTGTTGACACTGAAAGTTCCACTGAAGTTACCAGACTGTGGCAAAGGCCTGGTTCCTGCTGACCTCTACCTAGTGGCATATTCCTGAGTTGAGTCACCCCAACTCCTGCTGCAGACTCTGGGCTCTGTCCTCACTTGTCATCTCCAAGGCAAAGGTGTTGGGGACAGCTGGGGCTACTGCCCCCTCCGCTGGAGCTCCTGGGAAGAGGGGCCAGGCAGGAGCCAGCTTGGGGTTCTGGAGTTCTGCCCTGGCAAAGCTGGTTGAGGGATGATGGATGCGACCTGGCTAGGGGTCATGATGCCAGTTGTTCTCCTCTCCAGGGAACGGGAGGCAGGAAGAGGAAGTGGGGCAGGAAGGTAGCACTGAGCTCTGCCGCCAGGCCAGGAAACTGAGGCGTGTCAGAGCCCAGAGCCCACTTGTGAGTGAGCAGGGCAAGAGATAAGGCAGGGCAAGGGTGGGCTTTTAGGGCCCTTAGTTTCTGGGAAGAAGTGGAGGCCGAGGGCAGGGGGTACTGGACAATCTCGGCCTCTCAAGGTACATTTTAGAGCCCAGCATGGTGGCACATGCCTGTGATCTCAATACTTGGGAAGCTGAGGTGGGAAGATCACTGTGAGTTTGAGGCCAGCCTGGGCTACACAGTGAGTTCAAGGCCACCCTGAACTACATAGTGAGCCCGTCTCCAAAAAAAAAAAAAAGGTACAATTGAAGCAAATAATGGATCACAGGCTGGGGTGGGCACACAGTCACCTCCTCCGTCACCCATCCACCCATCTTCCAGCTCCATCATCTCTTCTCTTGTTCTTCCCCCTTTCTCTGACCCCTGCTCTTCCCTTTCCTTCTCGCTCTCTTTCTCTGCCTGGTCCTCCTTTCGACTTTTCTCTTCTCCATAACTCATTCAATCAATGTGGATTTCTTGGGCAGCTCCTTGTGTCAGATTGGCGACAAGTGTAGGGGTTCGGAACAAGTCAGCAATGGGCAGGACAGACATTGGATGAGTAATTACGTGATGTCCTTTATTCTTCTAGACAGTTCTCTCTCCAGAGTTCATGCTTGGAGCCACAGGCCTCCCTCTTATGCACACAAGTAAAGTTGGCAGCATTAAAAGGCAAGGGGATTTAGTTCAGGGGTGCCCGCGCCTGCCTCAAAAACAAAAGGTCCTGAGTTTGATCCCCGGTACCAAAAAAAAAAGGATGAGGAAGCTGGGAGTGGTGGCACATACCTATTATCCCAGCACTCAGGAGGCTGAGGCAAGGTCACAAGTTCAAGGCCAGACTGGGCAACCTAGTAATTTAGAGATACTCTGTCTCAAAATAAAAGGTAAAAAAATGAACTGGGAATGTAGCTCAGTGGGAAGGCCCTGACTTCAGTTTGCAATACAAAAAATAACAATAATGAATCCCTGGAGCCTTGGTTCCCTCCTAGATCCCTCATAGATCTTCTGGTATGCCAATACAGGTGCTGTACCATCTCCAGGCCAAAGTTTCCTGTCAGACTGGGATAATAACACTGCACAGATGAAGTGAGGGAAAGTGAATGAGTGGCTGGCAGCACTATGTTGAGGCTGGGGTATGGGCCCACTGAAAGGTGCCTGTTACTGCTAAAGAGGAAAGTTCGGCAGCCTGCATCACTGGATCGGGATACACTAGATGCTGGCTCTCAAAGGAGCATGAGAAGTTCTGCATTTAAGTTAAAAATAATTAAGCTTGCAAGTGTGCAACAGGGAAGACCTTGCATGGCTGTGCATTTTGTACAACTATCTAAGAGGTTTTATTGACAAGTATTGTGCAGTTTTTGGGATCTGACTGCTTCAAAAGAAAAAAAAAGGCTCCATAATCTCTGCACTGGGGAGGCTGAGGGAGGAGGATCTCTGTGAGTTTGAGGTTAGCCTGGTTACATAATTCGAGGCTGACCTGAACTACATAGCAAGACGCTGTCTCAAAAAAGAACCAAAAGAAGGGCTGGGGATTTAGCTCAGTGGTTCCAGCTCCTGCCTTACAAGCACAGGGTCCTGAGTTCAATCACCAGTACTAAAAAAAAAAAAAAGAACCCCCCCCCCAAAAAAAAGATCTAGGGTAATTTGGACTCTATCTATAATAATAGCTCTAATTTATCCAGCATTTAGTATGTGCCAGGCATTGTGCTAAGCTTTTGTTTATAATATGCCACATAGCCCTCCGCTAATATTATAAAGTTTATGAGGTGGGTATTGTTATTGTGGCCACTTTACAGATGAGGAAGTAGAGGGTCAGAAGGTCACATCCTCCATCTTAGTCACTCATCTGGTGAGCGGCAGAGGCAAGACTGGGACAGTGGTACAGGGCAGGGCCCTAGGTGCAAACCCAGGGAGCAGCGACAGTGTGCTACCTGTACCGTGCATCTGTCGCAGCTGGAATGGGGCTTCTCAGATGGATAATTGATTCGAGTATTAAACAGGTATTGGATTTTATATTCTTTTTTTTTGGTACTAGGGATTGAACTTGGGACCTTGCACTTTTGAGGCAAGTGGTGGAACCACTGAGCTAAATCCCCAGCCCAGGTATTGGATTTTAAGTAGGATAGAGGGGAGACAGTTGTAACAGGAAGTTAGGGGGGTTTTTGTTTTTTGGTAGCAGGGATCGAACTCGGACCTTGCGGTTTCAAGGCAGGCGGTGGAACCACTGAGCTAAACCTCCGGCCCCTGTTTGGGGGTTTTTTGAGACCAGTTTTCACTAATATGTTGCCCAAGTTGGCCTTGAACTCCTTGGCTCAAGAGATCTTCCTGTCGTTTGATGTGGTAGCACACACCTGTGATCCCAGCACTCTCCAGGCTGAGGCAGGAGAATCGCCACAAGTTTGAGGCCAGCCTGGGCTACATAGTGAGTTGAAAACTAGCGTGAATTACATAGTGAGACCCTGGAGAGAGAGAGAGAGAGAGAGAGGAGAGAGAGATCCTCCTGCCTCAGTCTCCCAAGTATCCGGGACTACAGGGGTGCATTAATGCCTCTTCCCTCCCTCTCGCTATAAGCAGGTTTTAAGTTTTTTGTTTTTGTTTTGAGGTGCTGGGGATTGAACCTAGAGCCATACAACCTAAGCGAGTGGTCTACACCAACAGGGAGTCTTCTTGCGGTACTAGGGATTGAACCCAAGGTCTTCACATTGAGCTACATCCCCAGCCCTTTTCTATTTTTTATTTTGAGACAAAGTCTCATTACATCACTAAGTAACCCAGGCTGGATTCAAACTTGTGATCCTCCTGCCTCAGCCTCCCAGAGTGCGGGGATTACAGCCCTGCACCACTGTGTCTGGCTCAGCAGGAAGATTTTTGAGAGCTGTGTTTTCACAGCGTACAGCGCTGGATGGGGATAAACTAGATGGGGATATGGACCTGTAGCTCAGTGGTACAGCACTGGCCGAGCCTGGGTGGCCCTGGGTTCCATCCCCAGCCTGGAAGGGTGGAGTGGGGTAGAATTTGCATGTTGTTGGGGATTTTTTGTACAGACGGTAACAGGCTGTGAAGAACATTTACTGGGGTGGGGCGGGGGACACAGGTAAAATAAAATACAATTTATTTAAAAAAAAAAACTTTTCCTGAGCCAGGCGTGGTGGTGCACACCAATAATCTCAGAACTCAAGAGGCTGGGGCAGGAGGATTGCTGTGAGTTCAAGGCCAGCCTGAACTCCATAGTGAGACCCTGTCTGAAAAACAAAAACAAAAACAAAAAAAATCCCACCATAAACCAAAGAAACAAAACACTTCTGCAGAACTGCCACTCTCTGTGTGGCAACAGCTGCCCTCCCACCTCCATCCGAGGCTCAAATCCTGCAGGTCCCAGCAGGTCTGGGAAATGGCTCTCACCTCCCAGCACCCTGTCTGGCCTGACAGCATTTCCTCATACCTTGATGATGCTGTCCACTTTCTGGCCAGCCCTTCTCCCTGGCTTTTCTCACTTGATCCAAGCCTGTCTACCACCAATAGAGAAATGATCCTAAAGGGCTCCTCACTGCCTCCCCTCGATGCCTCTTATTTGTTTTTTCCCTGAACTAAGGGCCTTCACACTGAGCTACACCCCCAACTTCCTGTTAAGTTTTTTGAGACAGGATCTTGCTAAGTCACTAAATTGCCCAGGCTGGGCTCAAACTTGTGATCCTCCTGCCTCAGCCTCCCAGAGTGCTGGGATTACAAGGGAGCACCATCATGTCTGGCTGTTTGTTTGTTTGTTTGTTTAGAGCCCAGTCTCACTATGTTGCCCAGGCTGGCTTCAAACTCACGATCCTCCTGTCTCAGCCTCCTCCCAAGTAACTGAGATGACAGGTGTGCACCACCACACCAGCTGCCATGTTAGGGTCAGCTCCTGTTTTTATCACTCCCTCCCAGCTCCTCTCCTCTCTTCAATTTTTGGGTTTTTCCCAGCCCCACCCTCCCCCTCTACCCTTCCCCTCTGCTGGGTCCTTCCTTGGGGTGTGTCCTATTTGTGCCAGAATGCCCCAGTTCTACCCCATCCTTCAAGGGGTCACCCTGCTCTTCCAATGGCAATTCTCACTTTTTAAAAAAATTTGGAGTACCGGGTGCAGTGGCACATCCCTGTAAGTAATCACTCAGAAGGCTGAGGCATGATGACTGCTGTGAGTTCAAGGCAGCCTGGGCTACATAGTGAGTTCAAGGCCAGCCTGAACTTCATAGTGAGACCCTCACTCAAAAAACAAAAACAAACAACAACAACAAAAATTTTTTTTGGTACTGGGGATTGAACTCCGGACCTTGCAGTTGTGAGGCAGGCGACAAAACAAATTTTTTTTGAGATGGTCTCACTATGTACTTTAGGCTGGCCTTGGACTCACAGTGATCCTCCTGCCCCGGCTTCCCAGCAGTTGTCGTTGCCGCAGTCTCACCCTCTCTGCTGGTGGCTGTGTTACCCACTGTAACTCTTTGGCCTTTCTGTATCACGGGTGTCTCTATCTCCCTAAAAACAGGCCCAATTCATTCAGAAAACATTTCTCCCACGCCACCACCTGCCAGGCACTATCTGGAGCTGGGAGGCACAGGGCAGAGAGGGCCTGCCCTCTGGTTTCTGCCTTCCCACATTCCCTAGTGCCTTATCTCCACGGTGTCTTCAGAGACCTGTGAGCATAGTTCGTGTCCTTTTACCTCAGCTTGCAGGGAACCAAGGAGGGTCGAGGCCAAGTGGCTATGTTCCCAGGTGCACATGTGTTCTTTAGGCCTGGGTCCAGCTTGGCCCCAGATGGGCCTGGCTTCGCAGACTGCTCCAGATTGCGGCAGGAGGCACTGGCAGCCCTCTGGAGAATGTGACCCAATGTCACCCCTTGTGTGAGAATAAGATAACAACAGCTGTTGGGCTCTGAATGGAAAACATAACATCCGGCATTCCACCAATCTCTAGCACTCATTTTCATTTTCAAATCTTTGTCTATTCCCAAGTTGTTGCCTTGGGCTTTTGGAATGTAGGAGTATTCACAGGCTCAAATAATAAAATGGGTGTGGTGGTGCATGCCTGTAATCCCAGCTTTTGGGAGGCCGAGGCAGGAGGATTGCTTTGAGTTCAAGGCCAGTCTGGACTACATGGGGAGACCTTGTCCTACCACCTTGTTCGCCAAATAACCTGGTGGTGATGATGGTTGGCTCAGGGAAAGGTAGGGATTATGAGGCTTCTCTGCTCTCCACTATTTTTGCTCCCCAGGCTTCGAGCACGCCCCACCCTAGCCAGTGGTTTGCCTGCCCCTCTCCAAATAGGTTGTTTTTCTAGCTCATGGGTAAATATTGACCTGTTTGGGTTTCAGATGCCTGCCCCTCGAAACTCCTGCTGGGCTAGAAGCACACAGGGAGAAGTTCTCTTGAGAACAAGAGTTACTTTTGGACAGGCTATAAAGCAACCAAGCGGCTCACTGAGTCCTCACAGCGGTCAGCACTGTGCCGGCCTCTGTGCCCTGGGTGGCATGGAGAGCAGTCTCAGATTCGGCTGGGGAGCACCCCGGGAATGGCTGTATGCAAGGCTGCCTTGAAGACTCCAAAGGAGCATCTTGCTTAAGTGGGAAGTGGTCCTCTGTGGCCACTGGATCCTTTCTAACACTTCAATTCTCGGTTTTCAGTGGAATTCAGTCCAGTGCCAGCGTGTCAGATGCAGACAATGGGCCTTGGGGGCTGGCAGGAAAGGGAGCTTGGCCCGTGCTCTCTTCGAGGAAGACATAGAGCAGGGATGGCTGCGGAGGACCAGGCAGAGGGGAGGGAGAGGCTGTGGTTTGCTAATCCTCAGTATTCATCTTCCTGCAATGTCCCTGGCCCTGCTCCTGGGCCTCAGCTTGCACCAGGGCCTCCTGCCCTGGGTCTCTCTGCCACACCTACCCAGAGCTCATTGCTTTGCTTTCTTTTCTGTTTGTTTGTTTGGTGTTAGAGAGTGAACCCAAGGCCTTCACACTGAGCTACATCCCTAGCCCCCTTTTTTTTTTCTTTTTATTTTGACCCACATGTAGCAGCAAGACCCTGTCTCAAAACACAAAATAATTTTTTTTTTTGGTACTGGGGATTGAACTCGGGACCTTGTGCTTGCAAGGCAGGTGGCAGAACCACTGAGCTAAATCCGCAGCCCAACACAAAAAAAATTTAAAAAGGGCTGGGGATGTGGCTCAGTGTGAAGATCTTGGGTTCAATTCCCAGTACCACAGGGGGAGAAAAGAAAATTGAGACAAGTTCTCACTAAGTCACTAGGTTGTCCAGGCAGGGCCCAAATTTTTGGTCTTCCTGCCTTAGGCTCCCAGAGTGCTGGGATTACATCATGAGCCACTACAGTGCCTTTCTCACTACCAAATCAGACTTTCCCTGTCCCCTGTTTTCTGCTCTTCTCCAGCTTGGACCCTGCCCCTCCTTTCCCAGTCCCTTGAAAGGAGCCGAGTGTCGCTTAGGTAAAGCTGCTGCCCAGCCTGGGAAGCACAAGGGTGTGGGGGGGTCTCATCTCAGTGAGTTGGGCCCCAGGGAAGACTGGCCAAGTGGAAGACTGGAGCCCAGAGGCCAGGTTGGCTGAGGCTCCCAGGAGAAGAGGGAGTAACTGTGGGCACTAATGTGGGGAGCTGGCTGGGCCAGGAGGTAGAACTGGCCTGACTGGTCAGGGGCTGAGGAGAGAGAATTGAACCTGATCGCAGCTCAAAGCTCAGGAGGAGCAGTTAGTTAGACAATGGTATGGACTGGTCCCAAAGTGCCTTGCTGGCCCTGTGGACTGAGTCTCCCTGCCGTCTGGCCTCCAGGTACACACTGGGTAGGGGCCACCCTGGAGCCAGGGAACAAGTATGGGCTTTGTGGGAGGGTCCTAAGAAGCTCAGAGGACGCTGAGATGCTGAAAGCCAGAGCTGACTTCCTCCCCACCTTGATGGGCAAGAGGAGCAGCCAGGGAAACCCAAGGGGAGCCCCACCCACCCACAGCGCCACCCCTTCACCTTGCACACAGTAGTGTGCTCTTGCCAGAAGGATGCTGTCACCATGCAGTATACCGGTGCACGGCGTGGGGAGAGGAATTTGAGGTCTTGGTGAGGGCTGGGTGGGGGCTCCTGCAGCCCTAACCTTGGGCTTGGTGTCCAGGCAGGGAAAGAGTTGGAGCGATGCCAGCAGCAGGCGAATGAGGTGACAGAAATCATGCTCAACAACTTCGACAAGGTCCTGGAGCGAGACGGGAAGCTGGCGGAGCTGGAGCAGCGTTCAGACCAACTCCTGGACATGGTGTGAGGCCTGGGAGCAGGGAGGAGAGGGAGGGGCTCCTCTGAGGGAGCTCTAAGGCTCATGCTCAGGGTCTCCAGGCTCTTGGCAGGGAGACTGACTATTATTTGAGGGCCAGTGTGGGGCCTCTGGGTTTTCTGAAGCACTCAAGTGTAGATATGTAACAGATAGGTCTTACAGAGCAAGAAGTTCCTGGTTTTAGCTGGGTATGATGGCACAGGTCTGTAATCCCAACATTAATCTTGCTGTAATCCCTGCTGAGGCAGGAGGATCGAAAGTTTAAGCCCAATCCAGACAGTTTAGTGAGACTTTTGTCTCAAAATTTAAACAAAGGTCTAAGGATGTAGCCCAGTTAAAAAAAAAAAAAAAAGAAGTCATTGGCTTAAAACTGTGGACCCAAGGATTGGGGACCAGCACTGCTAACTGGACGTGTGCTGATAGGGCTGAAGTCAGGGGCTACTCAAGTGTCCCAGGAAGCTTGTGTGGACAGCGAGGGCAGGATGGGGAGGATGCAGGAGGAGAGCAGGACCTGCTGGGATGTGGTTGGTTGGAGCTGGCTCTGAGACCCTGTGGGGACTGCTAACTCCCACCCTGTGTCTGGGGCATCCACAGAGCTCTGCCTTCAGCAAGACAACCAAGACCCTGGCCCAGAAGAAGCGCTGGGAGAACATCCGCTGCCGGATCTACCTGGGGCTGGTGGTGGCTGGTGCTCTGCTCATCATCCTGATTGTGCTGCTGGTCATCTTTCTCCCACAGAGCAGTGGGGACAGTGGGGCCTCACAGGCCCAGGATGCAGGCACTGCCTCAAGGCCTGGGGACTGACCCAGCTGGACCTAGGGAAGAGGCCCGGTGGTCCCAGTGGCCAGTTCTGGTCTCCAAAGAACCCTGGAATTTACTCCAGATGGAGCCACCCCAGTGAGCGCTGAAGGGCAGCGGTGATGTGTGTGCCTGTGTGTCCCCATCATGCCACAGATTGGCCCTCAAGGGCAGCCTGCTGACCGGCCACGCCTGGCCAGCCCCACCTGAAGCTCAGTAAAAGCTGCTGTTTGGTTAAAAGCTCATGCATGTGCGTCTCAGGTTGGTTATGCCTGTTCTACCTCTACCTCACTAGGTGGCCCCTCCTTTACTCATCCCTACTTGCGCCAACACCTACACAGACAAACCTTCCTGGAGTGTGAGTGCAGAAACAACAGTCCCCAGACCAGCTTCTCAAGCCTGTCTCCCTGAAAATGAAATTTATTAGTTTTGATATAGGGGTGCTCAGAAAATCAATGGGATGCTAGATGGAAGGGCAAAGAGGAAAGCAGTAGAGATGTTTTCATGAGGCTCTTACATTCAAGTAGGCTTCCCCCTCTGAAAGGTCTCTCTCCAGTTTCTTAGCCTATGCCATGTTCTTCCTTTAGCTTCACACTAGATTGCAAATGAGGCAAGTGGAGTGAAAACAAGGAGACTTCTGTGTTGTTGTCATGCAGGGTCACAAAAGATTGGTCCTGCAGGAAAAAACTCAGGCTTTTCAGTGTTCTAGGCTACACAGCCAGGCAGCCAGTGCCTTCAGGGCTACAGGCAAGGGCATAAAAGAAAGAAAGCAACCAGCAAGAACGTGTGAGAGGGCAGCCTCTGTCTTGGGTATTTAACTGCAGTTCAAACTCAAATGTGAGTGGCAAGGGGAATTCAGGGTCAAGTGTGTACAATAAGCAGGTCCTTGGTAGGAAGAGTGAGAGCTAAAGACAGAAACAAAAACAAGCCCTCAGAGTTCTACTCTGCATAGCCTGTTCCTTCCTTAGGCTTATTGGCATCTTCTGGTCCTTGGAAACATAGAGGAAAGCACTTAGCCCTGCAGTTAGTCAGCAACACCACTTCTAGGCTGTGTCAGTTTGGGCAAGTCACTTGTAAGACTCAAGTTTTGCATACATAACAAGGAGTCAGGGGTGTGGCCCAGTTGTTAGCATGCTGCTGAGAGGCCCTGGGTTCAAGGTGGGTGGGTGGGTGGGAAATAAGGATTCTTAGCTCCCAGGACTATTGTGAGGGTTACTGGTACCATGCGTAAAATACCCACCCATCAAAGTAAATCATGAGCACAGTGATTCTCAACCCTGCCTGTTATTACAAGCACCTCCGAAATTTATATTGTCCCTGCAGGGCAATGGTGCATGCCTGTAATCCCAGCCCTCAGGAGGCAGAGGTAGGAGGACCACCACAGGCCAGCCTGAACTACATAGCCTCAAAAAAGCAAACCAAAACAAAACAAAAGGCTGGGGATGTAACTCAGTGGGAAGGCCCTGGGCTCCATCCTTAAAACCACAAAAACAAAATAAAACAATCAAAACAAAACCGAAGTAGTTTTCCAGAGGCTAGCCTAGCGATGAGGTTGACCAATACGCTAAAGGTCACACAGTTCCAAGAGCTGGTGAGGCCTTAAGTTACAACACTTGATCTTAGCCAAAAGTCCAAGAAGCGATGGTGAGGCCTGACATTGTCCCTTGATTAGGGATGTTTGCCCCACCCTTTATCTTGCGCCTAACACAGAAGAAAATGCGCTGGAATTCCCCGCCCCAGGATCAAGCATAAACTGCAGACCCAACTGGAGGGCAGCAGGGCATAAGTGCCAGGCGGGGATCTCCGCAGAGTAGTGGGAAGCGCCCCGGCTCCAGGCTCGCCAACGCTCAGCAAGGGCCAGCGCCTTCCTGTGTCTCTAGCACCTGAGGGCCTCGGGGTTCAGAGGACCTTCTCAGCCCAGACTCTGGCTTCTCAGGGCATTACTGACGCGACCACGCCAGAAATTCCCGGGAATTTACTCTTTCTCCGACTCCCCTGGCTTTTAGTCTTTGATCACCTGACTTATGTGACCAATGAGAAGCGGCAAGATCAATACTTCCGCTTTTATACCCGTAGCAATCCACTATGCTCGCCCTCGAATTACTCTTATTGGACCTCCTCTCTCAACTCGCCAGTTTATTGGCCAGCGCTATCGGGCCGCAATCTAGGGTCGAAGGATAGTGTCTGTCAGACAGCCGGGCAGCCATGGCGTCTTATTTCGATGAACACGACTGTGAGCTGTCAGACCATGAACAGGAGACCGGATTCAATATGCTGTTGCAGCTCGCAAGGTGGGTGCGGGGGTGGGGGTCGGGGCTGGAGCCCAGATTGCTGTCTAGGTTTCTGGTTTGGGGCTGGCTGGAGAAGGCGGATTACTGGGGCAGCAGCAGATTATGGGGGGGGGGGGGGATGAAAAATCTGAAATGTTAAGCAGGGTGTCGATAGATTAGGTCTTCGTTTGCAGGGTCCGGCAAGGGGATTGTGGGAAGGACTGAGCTGGAGAGTGGTGGGCGTGGAGTAGTACAGTAGGCCCTGGGAAGCTGGGAGGTGGGACATGGTGGTTGGGTAGGGGCCATGCTTGTGTGAACAGCAAGCAGGGAAGCCCACTGGAAACTTGAAATTGACTTTATCAGGACATTCCTGCGGGGCCTGAGTCACTTCCTTAACCTGTTGCCTCATGTGTAAAATGAAAATAAACAGTCTGTGAGCTGGGTTGTTTGGTAAGAGATGTAAACCACTTCACACTGTCCTCTTTAGTGCGTTTCTACCTAAGTACTAACGATTATTATTACTAGTAGCTGGGCAGGGTATTTATTAATGCAGATATAGGGAAAAGAGAAAGTCATTTTCTTTGGTTCTGACCTGGCATCCTCCTTGCCAGATCACTTTCCAATATGATGGATTTTGAAGACCTAGGATTGGTAGTAGATTGGGATCACCAACTGCCTCCACCTGCTGCCAAAGCTGTGGTTGAAAACCTCCCCAGGACAGTTATCAGCAGCTCTCAGGCTGGTGAGGACACTAATTCCTTCTGCTATTTGAGGCAAGTCTGCCAGACACCTTTCTCCCCCAAACCCTTTAGTTTTCCAGGCCAGGATGGGGCAAGAGTGCTCCATGCTCAGGAGTGGGTCTGGGGATGGGGTGGGGCAGAGCTGTGGCAGCTCTCCTGACCAGCACTCCCTCCTCAAGATCTCAAGTGCCCCGTGTGTCTTTTGGAATTTGAGGAGGAGGAGACTGTCATTGAGATGCCTTGCCATCATCTTTTCCATTCCAGCTGCATTCTGCCCTGGCTAAGCAAGGTACTACTTCCCCTCTTCCAGCCCCTCTCTCTCCCTGGGGTCCAGTTCTCAGGCTTTTCTCTGGACATGGACTGTTCTAGGGACCAAAGGTGGGAGTGGGGGTGGGAATTGGGAGCAGGGCAGGGTGATTAGCTTGGACCGGACCCAGGTGGAACACTGTCCTACTTTTCAGACTAATTCCTGTCCCCTGTGCCGCCATGAGCTGCCTACTGATGACGACGGTTACGAGGAGCACAGACGAGATCAGGTAGGGGCTGACCACTGTGCTCATTCCATTCCCCACCTCAGCAGCCTTGGGTAGGCCGCTGAATCCCTGGCTCTGGCCACCCTCCCAGTGATTATGGTGAGGACAAGCACCTTGGCAATGTGGATGCTTAGGGGACTGAAAACCCTGAGTCCCAGTCCTATGACAGTGCCCCACCCCCTTACCCATGAGTCTTTTTTTTGGGTACTGGGGATTGAACTCAGGACCTTGCACTTGCAAGGCAAGTGCAGTGCCACTGAGCTAAATCCCCAGCCCTACCCATGAGTCTTCAGATTGGCCCTGCCCAGTGTTCTCTCTTCCAGGCTCGAAAGGAGCAGCAGCAGCATCGACTGGAGAACCTCCACGGGGCCATGTACATGTGAGGAAGCAAAAGCCGAGCATTCCTCCCCTCGCATCTCTCTTGCACCTTAATTCCTTATTAAAGGTTTCTTTACCCACCCCGGCACTGCATTGCTCATGGGCTGAAACAGGGGCCCTGAATCCTCCACCAGGTCCCTACTGCTATTGGAGAAGGTAAAGTACAGAAAGTACCAGACTGCATTTCCCCACTGCTGGCCTGTTGGACTCAGGGCAGTGGGACCCAGGCAAAGAACCTGGCCACTGGACCAGCCAGGGCTTAGACCTGTGCTTGTAGTTGGAAAGCAAAGTATGTTAGGACCTACTACCCTGTAGCTATTTTTTTTTTTTTTTTTTTTTGGTCTTTGAGATAAGGTCTTGCTATGTAGTTCAGACTGGCCTTGAACTATGTAGCCTAGGCTGGCCTCAAACTCACAGCAATCCTCCTGCCTCAGCCTCTTGAGTGCTGAGATCACAGGCATATGCCATCAGGATCTGCTCATCCTGTAGCTATTCAAAGCTGATAAACTCGCACTACCACCCCCACCTCTCCAATTTCTAGTTAACCTTAGAACCTGTTAGTTAAACTTGAATTCCTGGGGGTTTTCTTTAGCTTGACAAGAGAAAACTACTTTTAACATTTTAAAGTTGTTCTCTGTATCCACCTCCCCCACTCTGTCCCACTAAGGAATCAAAGTTCAACCCAGATTCTGAGGTGGCGGAAAGAAACGAAACTATCAGACCAGGTCAATTCTTTAGACTGTTTAGAGACCGAGAAGGGCTTCAAGCCCTTGTGGGTATTTGCACAGCACCTGATAACTCTGGCTTTTTGTTTTGTTTTCTTTGCAGTACTGGGGATTGAACTCAGGAACTTGCACTTTCGAGGCAGGCGTGGCACCACTGAGCTAAATCCCCATCCCTTTTTTTTTTTTTGAGACAGTCTCCTCACATAGTTCAGGCCAGCCTCAAATTCAGTGATCCTCCTGCCTCAGCCTCCTGAGTGCTGGGATTAAACTTAAAGCCAGCCTTGTTCTTTTTTTTGTTTTTGGTACCAGGGATTGAACTCAGGACTTTGTGCTTGCCAGGCAGGTGTGCTGCGCCACTGAGCTACATCCCTGGCTACCCAGCCTTATTCTTTTTATTGGTACTGGGGATCGAACTCAGGACTTTGTGCTTGTGAGGCAGGCGGTGGAACCACTAAGCTAAATCCCTGGCTTTTTTTTTTTTTTTTTTTTAAGGAGGAAAGGTTTATTTAGCTCACAGTTTGTAGAGGTTTCCGTCCATAGTTGGCTGACTCAAAGGCAGTGGGGCGTGGCAGAAGGGCATGGCCTACCCAGCCTTATTCTTAAAGAACATTGGACATTCTGGTCTCATCTTGCAGGTAGAGGCTTCCTCCCATTGCTTGCTCTGGGAAAGCCACCTTGGATCATGCCTTCCCTATCTCTGCAGAACTGACTACAAACATGCAAATTAGAGTTCTTTTAATAGATATAAAAAAGTACTAAAATATCCACGTGGTTTGCTGTGTTATTTGTCCTAAGGGAAGTGAGGGGCAGAGTGAAGAATCCCAGTGTAGCTCAGTGGGCCCAGAAGCAGGCCTTTCCTGTAGGCTAAGGCGTGTTCCTCCCACCCCCAGACTCGAATCTCTCTTGCTGTTCCCAGCCCCCAATTCCTGCAGCAGGAAACCCCAGTGGTCTGGCTCTGGCACTGGGAGTAGAAGGCACCTGAAGGGCTGGCTGGGCAAGTGAGGAAGGTGACCTTTAAACACAAAACAATACTGTAGTGCGGGGAGCAGGACATGCAGCCGAGGCAGCTGGCCAGGCATGCTCCTCTATGGCACAGTGGATGTGGGATGGCCATTTCTCCATGAGTGAGGAAGCCCAGATCCCAACAGAACACTTTCTGAAAACTGTTTTTGGTACAAAATAAATGCAAAGAAGAGAAGAGGTGGGGTGTTGTGGAGGCCGGGCCAGCCACCCTCCTGACCTCAGATCATGGCAATGCTCTCTGGGGCACAGTTGAGGTGGGTGGAGGTGCTGCTGCTCCCTGAGGACTTGCAGGCCCGGCCAGGGGCAGGCTGCAGTGCAGCTACCAATGTGTCTGAGGAGACTGCCCCGAACTCGTAGCTGAAGGTGCCATAGAAAATGAGGATATCAATGACGAACACCCACTCACACAGAGCTGCCCCATGCTGTAGCTGAGAACTCTCATGAACGAAGAAGATGCCACCTGGGACGGGGCTAAGGAAATGTTAGGTAGAATGCACAGGAACCCATAACACCTTTCCGAAGGCCCAGACACTTAATTAGGCTGGGGTGAAGGCTCAGGCCTCCCTAGGGAACAGAAGTCCAAGTAGGCAGTGTTGGCTGGAATGCAGGCCCCACCCCACTGGGGTCTTTGAAGGCCTGAGCTAGAGGACAAGTTCCTGGCTGCCCTGTCTTGGAAGGATACTGAGGACCAGGGTGATGAAGGCAATGACGGCCAGCACACTCCGCAGGTAGGCCACAGCCAGATCCAGGGGTGAGGTGGCTCCATGGTAGGAGAGCACACAGTGCAGGCAGGCAAAGAGCAACCCCGCGGGCAAGGCCACACCAGCTCCAATGTAGTGCAGAGACTTGGCATGGTCCACCTGGCCCAGACAGATGGGCTGATCCATGAGGTGGCCCCACCATCTGCCCGTCCATCACTCCTGCTCCCTCTTCCTTCCCCTTCCTTTCCCTCCCAGTCCTCCCTCAACCTCCAGCCTTAGGGTACTGCCCATCCAGGCAGCCTGGCCCTACTAGGGGAAGTTGAAGGGGAGGTGGGACACCTGAAAGTTGCCAACCACTACGAGGCCTGCAGCATTGGTGCAACCCATGATGAGCGCCGTGGTGTTCACCCAGGAGTGTCGGCTCTGCTCCAAGAGCTGCCCGTACCTCAGGAGGCAGATCAGGGCCACTGCAGGAGGAAAGCATGGCTGGGGCCAACCCAGCGCCTTCCACCAGCCCCGCTTGCCCGCCAGCTTCCCAGAGACTTCTTGTTCCTGGCCCTTGTGAGGGCTGGAAGGGGCTGGACAGCTGGTGGTGAACTATGTTTCCTCAGGCTCCAGTCAGCCAGTGGCTGTGTGGGAGCCACCCTTTGAAAGGCTTTCAAGGGACAGGAGAGAAGCTGCCCATCTTGCCTTAGCAACTGGTGGGGAGGGCTGCATGGAGCAAGGGCTTCTGAGCCTTTCTGGGAAGAGGGTGTGTAGCAGGTGTGTAGGGGGCTGGTGAGGTTGGACCGAGGGGAGAACTCACCCATGAAAGCACCCATGTTGCCAATGAGGCTGAAGAGGCAGCTCTCTGGGGGATATGTGCCACACTTGCTGAGGGGACAGGGCAGGACAGAGTGAGACGCAGGTGCACCAGTGACCCTCACTCTGGCCTGTTTTATCAGTGCCTGTTCCTTAGCAGGCAAGCCACTGATTTATGAGGAGGACCAGCCAGTGTCCCTTAGGAACTGAGCCCTTTCCCTCCCGCCTGCAGCACAGCCTGTGTGTGCATGAGATAATGAGAACAGTGAAGCCTTAAGTCGGTCTGGTTTGCCTTGAACCAGAACCAGGGCTGGGCAAACAGTGCTTGAGCTTAAACCCAGATGTCTCTACTAGCTGTGGGACCTGGAGGAGTAATTCTGAGCTTCCAATTTCTCACCTATACAATGGTGAACACAATAGTGGCCCCCCTGCTGGGAGAGGATTCAGACACCATGCATATAAAGTTCTCACTTGGGGCAAGTAATGCAGTATTTGTTATTAAGTAGCTCTTAGTGTAATGATTATTCCTGTGACCTGTGGCTAGTCCTTTGGTTCAAAGGTTCTCTGAAAGTCTGGAAGCCTTGGATCTCTCTGACCTGCCCACTTTCCAGGGCCTACCTGATGAGAGGAACATCATCCAGGGTGCAGCAGGTCTTGGGGCCCCCTTGCTCGGCAGGGTCAGGAGAGCAGGACTCGTTGTAGGACCTGGCAGGCAGGACACCAAGTAGACTCCAGGAAGGCGTTGCCCCCAGGCCCTTGGCCTATAATGTCAGGCCTCAAAGAGGACCCTCTCCCAGACCTCCCCAGCAGGGGCACAAGAGCCTACTCCCCAGGGCCTGCCTGGAACAGAAGCCAAAATGGGTGACGGGATGGTGGGTAGTGGGTAGATGGGCAATAAGCCATGCCTGGGGACCAATGTCAGAGAAGAGCAGTGAGGCCCAGGGTCTCTGTCTGGGTCATGGCAGCTGAGGGCCCAAGAGGGGACAGAGATGAAGGGAGCTTTAGAGTGAGGCTGACTGCAGTGTACTCCATACCAGTTCTCCACAGGGCACACGTGGCGATTCATCACGGCCATGGCATACCTGCAGGAGCAGAATTGTCACCCCCCCCATGTCCCTCCCAGCCCAGCCACCCCCCAGGGACTCCTCTGCCTGGATTTTTGGTCCTTTTCAGCCTCACTGTCCTTGCTGAGAACTCTGTGTGTGTGTGTGTGTGTGTGTGTGTGTGTGTGTGTGTTTTGATGATTCCCCTGAGAAATTCGCATGGCCCCCCACTACAGACCCTCTGGAAGTCGTCCTGGCTCAAAGTAGGTCTGCCCGGGCCATCCTGCTGGGCAGCAGTGGTGCCAGCTTGTCCCAAGGGGCTGTGTGCCCAGGCACCAGGTCAGGCTTTGAAGACAGAGTGACCATGGGTACCACCCTGGATCCTATAACAGGACAAGGGACATTGTGTGTGCCCTCAAGCACCTGTGTCCCCCACTTTACTCACACAGTCCATATGCCAGTGATGGAGAATGCTGACAGGCTGACAGGAAGGAGGATCCAGGCGGTCATGAGGGAGGGGAGCCAGGGTGATGGAGATGTGGGGGGAGGACAAGAGGTAGGTGGGGAAGAGGGGGCGGGCCCAGCTACCTGGAGGTAGCTCGCCCACAACCATCAGCTGCCCTGGCCTAGGAGGGAAAGATCAAAGTCCAGGGTCTGCTGACCTGCCAGAGCAGGGGGCGGGGGTGGAGAAGGTAGAGGGTCAACCTCTCATCCAGAGCTCTGTGGGGTCTGTGAGGTCCAAACTTTGGGTTGAGCCCAAGCCAGAACGGGGAGAACCCTCTGGCATCCCTTGGGGCCCTCTTCGGTCCACCCAAATTCCACCCGAAGGCTGAGGGTCCACCAGGGCTGTAACATCTGGAATGGTAGTCACCCTCCCTCGCCAGAGAGACGCAGGCAGGGGAGGCTGGGACCCGGACAATTAAGAGGGACCACGCTGAGAAAAGCCTAGGAGGGCTAGCAGGGTGGAGAGAGCGGTGGCGCGTGGGCAACCACCTGACCGCGGCGCCCGAGCCAAGGGGCGGGCTCTCGCGGGAAGCCCGACCCGGCCCCACTCGCGTGGGTTCGCCGGCTCCGGCGTGGGTAGGACCCCGAGGCCGGCAATCTTCCCCCCACCCTCCGACCCGGGGACCCCATCCTCCCCTGGCGATCCCTGGAGGCCCCGCAAAGGAAGGAACCAGTACGCACCTCCCGGGAGCGCCCCGCCGCCACCGCGCCCTGTTCGGCCCCCTCGTGGCGCCGTCTCCGGCTGCGGCCCTCGCAACAGCCCTGAAAGGTTTAAAGGGCCGAGCGGCCCCGCCCCCGGCGGCCCCCGGCCACGCCGCGCCGCCCGCCGGGATGTGGAGTCCCGGCAGCCTCGGCCCCAGCGCCCGCGCCCAGCCCGAGACTACAACTCCCGAGCCCCCAAGCCCGCGTCACTGGGGAGACGTGGGCGGTGCCCGGACTTCGGGGAACCCAGGCGCCGGGGGGATGTGGCCTGGGGACCTCTGACACCAAGATCGAGAGGATGGTTGCGTTTGCAGTTCCAGAGGTGGGACCACCGGAGGCGGGGACCCGCGGCGTCCGCCAGCCTTTCTCTCCTCCTAAAACGGTCACGGTGCCCATGGCTACAGAGAGCCCGCTCCGCTGCCGCGCACATTTTGCAGCTGAGATTGGGGAGCTCTCTCAGCGCGGCGCCCCGAGGCTGCCTGCGCCCCAGGGGTGAGGAGGGTCCGCGGAGGAGCGCGCACAAAGCCTTGGCTGATCATAAGAAATCTAAGCGTGCAGAATTTGGCTTCTGCTTCCTCTGGCTTAGCAGCCTGGAGGAGAGCTGCTTTCATCAGACACTTATTTTTGGACGTACAAGTACACAGAGTACTAGCCAGAAGTCACCGTGGCCAACGCGGTTCCCCACTGATGAACATTTACCTGAAACAAGGCGGCAGAGACCAAAAGGCTACCGATTCTAAACAGTTGTAGGTGTCGGTGTGGGATAGGTAAGGACAGGTACAAATTAACAGGGTCAGGTGTGGGATAGATAAGGACTAACAGGGCCAGGTGGTGGTAAAGAAAGGAGGAAGAAGAGCGACCCAGACAAGTCTGGGAAAAGGAAGCAGGAATGTATGGGAATAAATTATTAGCTTCACCAAAACTGAGAGCTCCTACCCCCTACTGGGGTCGAACCCAGGTCCTTTGCATTGACCTACATCCCTAGATGGTTATTATTTTTTTTGGTACCAGGGATCGAACTCAGGTCCTTGAGCTTGCAAGGCAGGCGGCAGAACTACTGAGCTAAATCCCCAGCCCTCTAGATGGTTATTTTTTGAGGCTGGGTTTCTGCAAGCCACACAGTTGCCTGGAATGGGCTCGAATTTGCAGTCTTCCTGACTCAGCCTTTCAAAGGGTTGCTGGCCAGTCTTTTCATGATTGAAAGGGCAGGTATACTTCGTTCACTAGTAGTGAGCCTGACTCTGCCTAAAAGGCAGCCTCAGCCAGTGGTAGAGCCCCTGTGAGACCACTCTGGGGCAGATCATTAACCCAAAGGTGGATGGCTTCAGACTGCCAGAAACAGGAAACAGCAACCTTCATGAGGCAAAGGTTATTTGGAGAAAACAGGACCCTGCACTGTACAGAAAGAGAGCAAAATAAACTACAATGGGGCAAAAACGGAGGAACCTTCTGTCCCCACTGGAAATTAGGAATGGAGGGTCCTCTTCCCACTCACATCAGTACTAGTTCAAGCAGGGCCAGGAAATAGGGGTGTGCAGTGATCACTGTGTAAGAATACCTGGCTGAATAGGCCAGGGGCATAAAATCCAACCCAACCTCTGCTAGACTCTACTAGACAAGGGGTGCCTCTTTATTTTTAAGGCAAGTTCTAGTTTTAGGGCTCCCCAGGATGGCCTCAAACTTGGGATTCTTTTGCCTCAGCCTCTGGAATACTGAGATTACTGGGGAGTACCACCACTTCAGGTTCAGGGGTGCCTCTAATTCACACTGAGGCATTATCTTCCTATCCAGCTGCATTGCCACCTGAGCAAGGGTTCTTACTTTTTTTTTTTTTTTGGTAATGGGGACCGAACTTGGGACCTTGCACTTTCAAGGCAGGCAGCAGAACCACTGAGCTAAATCCCCAGCAAGGGCTCTTAATACTGTATTCTGTTGAGTTTGCATCCCTGTAGTCATCTGGGTGACAGCTATGTCATGCTAGACATAGGAGTAAGACACTGGAAGCACTTGTAGCCCTAATATGACAGTGTGACTAGTTCCTAAAGTAGAATTACATCAAGATAAAGTCCCTGGGACAGAGGGACTCTTTAAGGGTACTTCATAAAGGAGGACAGTCATGTATCAGGTAAGAAGCAGGACCAGATGTCTTTAAAAATCCCTTCCAACTCTACCACTACGTGAGTGTGGCTGTTATGCTTCAACCAGGACAGGTCCCAAAATAGTAAAGCAAAGCCAGCAATGAGATTTCAGTACTGATTCTGTGGAGGAATGACCTCGGGACAGCATCTAATCTCCACCTCCCCATGTACACAAGTGATTTCACAACTCTTGGCAAAAACAATGCTGTAAAAATATTTATTGGTTACAAAAAATACTGTATTTGCAAAATACCCTTCTGAGATTTTCAAGTAATGTGTACACTTCATTTTATTCATCCACACAGCAGAAACACTGGAAACAAGAAAACAAAATGTATGGCTTTTTGTATGTTTAGCACCACGACACAGCCAGTACCACCAGCCTTCTGTTGTGTTGGCTCTGAAGAGGCAGAGGAGCCATTTGAATGCTCAAGAAGTTCTGACTTCTAGTATTACTCCAACTTCTACAGAAAAGTGGGATGGGTGCCCATGGCTACTTGGTCACATGATTCCTCAGACAGGGTAGGAATTTGAAGGAGATAAAATGTTTCAGGTAACTGTCAACATTCTAAGGTGGTTATTCCAAACAGCTCAGAGGTAGGAGAGTAATTTGTCCTTATTCCTCTTTCTATACAGAAAAGTCTCATTTTTTTTTTTTTTTTGGTACTGGGGATCGAACTCGGGACCTTCAGCTTGCGAGGCAGGCGCCGGAACCACTGAGCTAAATCCCCAGCCCGTCTCATTTAAGTTTGAGCTACATGGGGATCCACTACTCTGCCAAATGTACAGCAGGTTGGATACTCACCACTCCAAAGGGCTTCCGCCCATCAGCATGGGCAGTGCCCTCAGAGACCAGGGAGATGGAATGTCCCTTCCAGAGGCTCTTCCATGCCCACACTGGACCCAATGGCTGGCTGTGCTCCAGAAGCTCCTACTCTCACTCTATTTGTACAACTTTATATTCTTTTCCCTTCTTGTATTACATTCTTCAAAGACTTCCATGCTTGCCAGTGGGCTACTACTCAAACTCCAGTGTTGACTCTTCCTTGTTTTTGGTACCAGGGATCGAACTTGGGACCTTGTGCTTGCGAGGCAGGTGGTGGCACCACTGAGCTAAATCCCCGGCCCTTGTTGTTTTTGTTTTTTTGAGACAGAGCCTCACTAGCCTAGGCTGGCCTTGAACTCATGGCGATCCTTCTGCCTTAGCCTCCTGAGTACAGGTATACAGGGATGCTCCACCACACACAGCCATAGTGCTTACTCTTGCACAGCCCAAAGCCCCTGCACACCATCTTCCTTCTACGAGTAACATCAGCCATTGTGGCCCAGGAAACACAAAGCCTTAAGATCCAGGCTCAACTTCAGTTAAGGGACCAGCACTCCCTTTTGACTGGGCATGAGATGACTTTTAAAATGACTTTTTGAAAAAGATAGCCAAGAACATACAGAATCAAATGAATGTTGATTCTACAGCAGCCAGCTGGAAAGCTCCACCTAATCCAAGGCTGCTGCCACTGCACATCTCTAGAGCCTGTAAGAAACACTAGACATGCTCATTGATGACAAAACACCAATTTTTGAAAGAGGCAAAAGATATCTGGTGGCATGTCTGGTGAATTAGCTGGACAGTACACTGCACACATTAGGTAAGATTAGGTACTTTCTCAGGCAGAAAATATTGTATTTGTACTTGGTGAGCAAAGCGCCTCAAGGAAAAAAAAGTTTAAAAGCAAAAAGTTTACATAAGTACCTGAGGGTTTTTGTACGGATCACATGACACATGCACAAAAGTACACAACAGGGGGCCAGGGATTTAGGTCAGTGGTTCCCTGGCCTGCCCTGCAAGTGCAAGGACCCCAGTTCGATCCCTGGTACCAAAAAAAAAAAAGTACACAACAGGTACATACTACCTTGCCCTTTCTAAGACACAGGAATGGAGGCTAAAGTTGCAAGTACTGTGTCCTTAAGGTACTTGTCAGGTCTTCTTTTCTAGGTTCTATAATAAAACCAGGAAATAGATGATTCAGCTGTGAGAAGACAAAGCCCAAAAGTGTTTCCAGACTAAGAAATCAGAGTTCCAGTGAAATTCTGTTTCAAGTCATAAAATCTGTTGAAGAGCTGGAAGACTAAAATGACTGGGTGTCTGACTTGCAGGAAGAGGGTAAACTTTGGCCCAGAGGTTATGGAGAGCAGACAACACTGTAAATCCAAAGGCACTTCTTTCACAGTTGAGTAAGTAGAGGGCAAAGATTTTCTCCTTTGAAAGCAGAACTGAGCCCTAGGCTGTGAGTTTAAGGCACTTAACCTTGGGCCAGCAATATGGGTCTGGAGCACTCTGGTCCCAGGCTATCTTCATAACCAGGCCTTTCTAACTTACCACCTCACTCACTGTGCCAGCATTCCTCGGGGAATGCAAGCTGTGGTTCAGTGCTTAATATCTAAATGGTGTAGCTGAAGTAGCTGCCTTGCCCCATTTCTGAGGGGTCTGCTTTTCAGGGGTGCAGTGCCCTCAGGTGTGCTTTAAAAGAAAAGCTGCTCAGATGAAACAGACTGATCTTGAGACCCTGATGTAGAGAAACCCCTGGGGCAGGGGGCTTTGGTTTTTGTAAGTCTCAAAGCCCACAGGCTCATGTACACCCAACACTGCAAGTCACTGAGGGTAGGCTGATTTCCTGGAGAACAAATACTTTGGTGCACAGGATGCCCTGTGGACTTCAGACCTTAGCCTAACCCTTTTTTTCCATATGGTGCTAGGGATTGAACCCAGGGCCTTACAACTGCTAGCTATGTGGTACCACTGGGCTACACCCACAACTATCTTAGCCTAACCCTGTGTTTCAAAATGTTTCCTAATGGCTGGGAGCTTAGCTCATTGGTAGAGTACTTGCCTGCCATACAAAAGGCCCTGGGTTTCAAACCCAGTACTTTTTTTTTTTTTTAATTCTCTAGGTGAGAGCATTACTACTCTTAGGGATCTTTAAGCATCTGAGTTATATACTGCTAGGAAGTAACAAAATGAAAACATGGGGCAGAGAAAAGGGAACCATTTTACTTCCTACGGCATTTGTTGTTTAGGAATTTTCTTAAAACGAAGGCTCCAAATATTCAATTATTACTAAAGTTGAGTTTCACTTCATCTATATGTTCAAGACTGTTAAGTCACAATTGGAGAGTCAGTTTTAAGCTTGTTTTGATAATTTCCCTTTAGTCTGAGCAGTGATAGCTATTCACAGCTAGGGATGGGATCAAAAGCTGAAATTGTGTCAAGGAAGGTTTAACTGCAAGAAATCTTATTGCTTAAGCCCAGCATCTTTGTCTTGAGGCAATCTACAGAGTGCAAAGGATGGAGCCTGCAAGCAACCCGGAGAAGCCATGGAAGGGGAAGGAGACAACCTTCCAAGTAGGCCTCAGAAACAAAGGTCTCCTGAGGTATTGGTATCAAGAACCACGTGGAGAACTTGTTAGGCAGATCTCCAGGACCCTCCCACCTCCTGAGTCCTGGGGGCTGGAAAAGAACTGATGAATTCTACCTGAAGCAAAAAGAGGGAAAGTGGAGGAGAAAAAAAGATTGAGAAAAACAAGGGTGGAAGTGAACAGAAACGTGAAAAAGAACAAACATGGCCCCTGGAGCTGGGTGGAGCATGGCTCACAGAATGGCCAGGCATATGACCTCAGTGAGACAATAAGCAATATGTTAGTAAAAGGCTTCATAAACCCTGACTCCCCTATATCTCTGCTTCCACAAGTTAGCCATACAAAACTCTGAAACAATTCCAGGATGACAGGCCAGGCAAATCTGTCAACATATAAGAAAGAACTACTGCAAGGAAGGTGGGCCAGGTGTAGTCCTGCAACACCCTTGTAAGGGCCGGGGATTTAGCTCAGTGGTTCTGCTGCCTGCCTTGCAAGCGAAAGGTCTCGAGTTCAATCCCCGGTACCAAAAAGCAAAACACCTTTGTGGATGCAGCAGCGGGGGGTGGGGTGGGGGGGTGTGTCTGAAGATCAGACAGACTATCTCTGGCACCTCCAAACGAGAAGTGAGCTCCCTGGGCAGAATTCTTCCAAGTGCAGTGATTCCAGCCTGGAAAGAACGCCTTCCACCTGGTTAGTGTCGGCTTTGGCGCTTTGTCATTTCCTCCTGGATACGAAACTTGAGGGCCTCTCGCATGGGTGCATCCAGAGGAGTGTGTGCTGACACCTCTTCACTCACCCTTTCTGGGTCATCATCCTATGTGGAGGAAGTCAGGAAGCTCAGGGCCTGGCCTCTCTCAGAAAGGTGACCTGCCCTGTTCCTAGACCACTCACAGAATTCGGCCAGAGGTTTCTTGCCAGTGCCTGTCATTTCTCAGGTAACAGTGATTCTCAACTAAGGAGTTGCAACTCCTCCCTGTTCCCCCTCCAGAGAATCACTGTGTGGCAGCATCACCCAGCAGTACTATGCTGTGTGGAGCAATGGTTTCCCTCTGGCCCAGATGCAGACGGGTCTGGCAGTGATTTCTACCACAGCCCAGGGCCTTCCAGCTGCAGTTGTTTCCATAAGGCGTACCTGATACACGATAACTGATGTGACCTCTCCACTGTCCGCCTCATATTCTAAGCAGAAGAGCTGACGGCCTGAAGGCTCCAGCTCAGAGCCACCACTGCTGCTTTCACCGGATTCCTCACAATCTGGGTTGACTGGGGCCACAGAGTCATCTGGAAGGATGAACCAGAGTGTGGGGGGGGAATGCTGCTGGAGCCCCTGCCCACAGAAATGATGTGGGGAATAATGTGGTAAAAGAAAGCCCCAATCTTCTGATGGCCCTGTGTATGTGCCTCTTGTGCCTGCTGTCAATCAGGAATTTTACCTCCCTTTGAATTCCTGCTCTGGGCCCAGCACAGTGCTCTTACAAAGCAGGTACACAGTGCACACCTGTTCAGCAAATAGGACTGGAAGGTAGTGGGTTCTTATCCAGGTTCTGCTACTTACAAAGTCTGAGATCTTGGGCATGTAACTTAACCTTTCTGTGCCTCCTGCCTAACTGTGAAACAAACGACAAGAATTCTCAACTTATAGGGTCCTACAGACTCAATGGATTCATATATGTAAGACCTAAAGTCACTTTAAAAGAATGCTTAGGGCCGGGGATTTAGCTGAGTGGTTCCGCCGCCTGCCTCACAAGTGCAAGGCCCCGAGTTGGATCCCCGGTACCCGCCCCCCAAAGAATGCTTAATAGCGTCATACAATATTTTTACTGTGATCTCTAGGTCACAAGGAATCTGGGGATATGGCCATTTTCCCAGGTTCATCCCGTAATTATGTCCCGGTGGCTTACACCGGTGCCAGGCTTTCTGATAGCGGAATTGCTAACACTGGTTATAGTGGGACAAACTGGTAGATAAAGGGTCTCGTGCCGGTTCCCAGCTACCCTCTGTAATAGCGATGCTTAACTGGGGTCAGGGGCTCTGCCAGTTCTACTGAGCAGATGTGGGGTCCGCTGAGGCGCAGGCTCCAGGCAGGGGCGAGGAGAGCCGGGTGGGTCATGGTTCTCCCGACAGGGAAGGGGGCGCGGTGGGCAGCCCTCACCTCGGCGGCGCGGCAGGTACACCTGCAGGTCCGGCTTGCGGGGCCGCGTGGGCGCGGGCGTGTGCCGCCTCCTCGTCTTCTCCTTGGCCGCCTGCTTCACCTTCTTATCGTAGTCGTCCCTGCGGGGAGCCGAGCGGAAGTCAGCGACGGCCGGACCCGGCCGGGCCAGGCCAGGGATAGGGATGGCGGTGGCGGTGGTGGCGGCGGGGCGGGGCGGTACCGAGCGATCTGGTTCCGTCGAATATGGTGCACGAAGCCGTGGCTCATGTCCAGCCGCCCGCCAGGCTTGCAACAGAACCCCGGCCTGGGGTTCCGGGCCGCCTCCATCTGGGGTTCTGGATGCAAAGCCGCCGCCGCTGCCTCAACTGAACCAACGATAACCCTCCTGGCCGGAGAGGTCCCGGCGCCACTCCCACCGCTTCCGCCACTGAACCAGGACTTCCGGTTTTCGGAGCGGTCGGTGCGCGCGCAGTTTGTGGGCGGGTTAGGGTGGAGTTGTCCGGGCTCTCCTGCCACGGTGTGACTTTCTTTCCTTCCAGTCTCTGTCTGTGTCTCTTTCTCCCCTTTTCTTACTTCTTTCCTTCCTTCCTTGTTTTTCTTGCCTTGGTACTGGGGATTGAACCATAACTTTCGCAATAAGGTACACCCCCATCCCTTTTTATTTTTTGTCAGTCTCGCTAAGTCACTCACTTGCCCAGGCTGGGTTCGAACTTTGTATCCTCCTGCCTCTGCTTCCCAGAGTGCTGAGATTACAGGTTTGTGTCACCATGTCCGGCTTTTTGTTTTCTTGGTGACATTATCGATAAGAAACAAAGATTTCTGCTTAGAGCTGGTATGTTAGAAAATTCAAAAAAAAATAAAAACCACCCATGAACATTCATTAACATCAGTCCTTTTTTCTGGCGATAGATGATACTCCATCACTAGCTGTGTGACCTTGGCTGACTCATTAACTCTGATGAGCCTCAGCTTCCTCATTTGTAAGTGGACACACCGAAGGTATCTGTTTCAAATAGGCAGCGTAGTGGGTGAGAGGGGCTCCCTGCCAGACTCACTGGCATCCGTAGTGCTCAGCTAGCTGCAGCTTGCCTGGGTGCCCACCGTACACGGGTTATCTGTCCCTGTGAGAGGGGCCAGGACTTTTGAGGATGTATAATTTCTGAGCCTTATTTTTCAAATGTTATTTTGTGGTACTGGAGCTTAAACCCAAGGCCTTCACCCTAAACTATGTCATCAGCCCTTTTTAAGTTTATAGACAGGGTCACGCTAAATTCTATGTCGTATAGGCTGGGCTTGAACTCGAGATCTTCCTGCCTAAACCTCCCAGAGTGCTGGGTTTGCAGATATGTGCCATCACACCTGGTTTAGAGTTTTCATTTTAAAAGTCAAAATCAGGAATTCATATTTAGAACAGGAACAAAGAGGGCTGGGGATGTAGCTCAGTAGTAGAGCACTTTGCTCAGCATGTAGGAAGCCCTGGGTTCATCCCTAGCGTACAAAGCAAACAAATGAACTAATGAATGAATACAGTTATGTTATATCCACACAAGAAAATATTACTATGCAAGGCAAAAGAATATACTCAACAACAGGGACCAATCCAAAAATAAATACACAGAATGAAAGAGGCCAGGCCAAAGAGTAAAGACCTGTATGACCCTTGTATATAAAACTCTAGGAAATGCAAAATTGCTATAGTGATGGACAGCAGATCAGTGGCCTGGCAGAGATTTCCTAAGGGTATAAGGGCACTTCTAGGGCTGGACAGGTTCCTTACCTTGATTACAGTGCTGACTTCAGAGGTGTCCACACAGGACATCAAACATGCAGTACTGTGTGTGACAAGTATACCTCAATCAAGCTCTTAAACAGGCAGAGCTTCAAGGGTAGCTCAATGGTAAAGCATGCAGTTAGCATGTGTGAGACCCTAGTGTAATGCCAAATACAAGAAAAAAACAAAACTGAAAAAAACTAGGTAAACAAATTCAAGACAGGTCCTGAAATTGAAGTTTTATTAGTTTTACAGTAAATGTTCCTTGGCAGGATATTTGCACTTTTCTTTCTTCCTTAAAGCAGTAGGAACGTGTATTCAAGAAAGCAAAGGTGAACAGTGGGAGAGAACTGGCTTTGCCAAGTGAACTTGGGCCAATTAATAGAAAAAGAGAGCAATAGCAAAAATAAAAGTACATGTTATATCTGGGAAAGTGTCGGTTTTCATGGAAAGGCATGATAGCTGTTTGTGCCTTTCTTTTTTCTTTTTTGTATTTTTCTGATACCAAGAATCCTCTAAATGTGAAATTAAAGCATGAAGGGAATGATATGGGGATTTTCCCTCCTTTTCTCATGCAGAATCGTCGTTCTCTGAGGAAAGGAAACTCAGGATACAACCTCCCGATGGTGGTTTGGAGGCACAGGGTCTTGAAGAAATCTGGGATCGATTAGTCTTCCTACCTCTTCACAGATCTAATCACTTAATCACTGAAATTTCTATACACTGACTTTTTTTGTTGTTTTTTAGACCTTCTCTAAAGTTCGTAACAGAATTCGGCAGCGAATCTGTCAGCACCTGACAGATTTCTTTGTTGGTAGTTGTTTTTGTTTTTTAAAATTTTTTTGGTACCAGGGATGGAACTCTGGTCCTTGCGCAGCAGGGGGCGAAACCACTGAGCTAAATCCCCGGCTGTTGTTGTTTTTTGAGACACATTTCGCTACGTAGTTCAGGCTGGCCTTGAACTCAGGGCGATATCCTCTGGGTTTGTAGTTTATTTGATCACTCCTTATTCTCTAAATGTTCATAAAGAGATTTTTTTTGGAATAATGGCCCCTTAATATGATCCTCTGTGTTATGTGGAAGAACAAAAAAAGAAATCTGCGATCGAATGACGGCTTTATCCAGAAAACTCCATAGCTCTTTAAGGTCAGACGAAAATGACAGGTAAGGAGACACTAGGCCTAAAGCTTCTCAGCTGAACTCGTGGCTCCCTCAAGTTTCTGACTGCACGAATTGTCCCTATTGGCGACTCGTAGAGAGCTTTGGTACCAGCCCCAAGGCTGATTGGTTGTGACCTGCGCGCGCAAGAGTTCCCGGCGCCTGCGCTGGATCTCTCGACCGGCAGTGGCGATGTCCAGTCGGTCTAAGCGGGAGTCTCGTGGTTCCACCCGCGGGAAGCGCGAGTCCGAATCGCGGAGCAGCTCGGGTCGCGTAAAGCGGGAGCGAGATCGGGAGCGGGAGCCTGATCCGGCAAGCTCACGGGGCAGCCCGGTGCGCGTGAAGCGGGAGGTCGAGCCGGCGAGTGCGCGGGATGCCCCGGCACCCCCAATCCCAGCGGTGCGGGTGAAGCGGGAACGCGAGGCCGACGAGGACTCGGAGCCCGAGCGGGAGGTGCGAGGTGCGCGGAGCTGGGCCGGGCCGGGCACAGGTTCCATCATCGTGTCGTTTTCCCTTTTTAACCTTTCCCTGCTTGCCTACCCAGAAGGAAATGGGGAAGAGGAACCCAGACTTGAGTGTATTTTAATGAAGATAGTACTAAGCCTTGATAACTGTAATTATAGCATTTCTAAGCACAATAACAACAGCTTCCCCTTATCGAACGCCCAGCCTGGGCCAGATGCTGTGCCTGTGAACTCACAGGTGTTACCACCTCCAGTTTTTACGAAACCCCTTAGTGTGGGGCCTTGCTATAATTTCTGGAGTTAAGGCAGGAACACACTGTTGTAAACTGTACTCCTGTTCGCTGGGCTACCGTGGTGGTGCATGTGCCTGTAATTCCAGCACTCAGGAGGCTGAGGCAGGAGGATTGCAAGTTTGGAAGCTTAGTGAGACTGTCTCAAAACAAAATTTGGGCTTGATGGTGCACAACTGTAATCCCAGCACGAGGGAGGCTGAGGCAGGAGGATCACTGTAAATTCAAGGCCAGCCTGGGCTACATAGTCAGACCCTGTCTCAAGAAGAAAACAAAAAACAAAAAAAACTACTCGTGGTTCCGGGGATAGTTGCGCATGCCTGTAATCCTAGCACCCAGGAGCCTGAGGCAGGAGGATGACCACAAGTTCGAGTCCAGCCTGGGCTACATAGTGAGTTCAAGGCCAGCCTGAACTAAATAGCAAGACCCTGCCTCAAACAACAACAACAAAAAGCAAAAAATCCTACAACAAAAATTAAAAACTGCTTTTATATTAACATTCAATTTATCTGGTCACTTGTATATTTCATAATACCGTTCATGCCTCCTTGAATGTTTCTCCTCAAGTACTGAGGATTTGAACCTGGAGTCACACATGTCTAGACAAATGCTTTGCCCCTGAGCTACATCCTCAGTGCTGCATACCCAGGGCCCATATTTATTCTAAGACAGGGTCTTGCTAAGTTACCCAGGCTGGCCTTGAACTTGTGATCTACCTGCCTCAGCCCACTGAGTAGCTGGAATTACAGATGTGCACCACGGTGCCTGGCGTGGAGCTTTGCTTTGCTTTGCTTTGCTTTGCTTTGCTTTGCTTTGCTTTGCTTTGCTTTGCTTTGCTTTGCTTTGCGGTACTAGGGATCGAACTCAGGACCTTCCTTGCACTTGTGCCACTGAGCTAAATCCCAGCCCCCATGGAGCTTTTCTTGAGTAGATTTTCCCATTTCTGTGTTTCTTTGTAATGCTAGTTGACCCTGAGTACATGTTTTCCATTTTCAAAGCTTGTGATGATTTTCTTTTCAGCAAAGAATGGCCGTGTGGATTCTGAGGACAGGAGGAGCCGCCACTGTCCATACCTAGATACCATTAACAGGTCAGTAGGGTAGAGAGGGTGAAGGTCTTAAAAGAAAAATGGGATCCATGCAGAAAATTGTTTGGATGGTGAATGAAATAACACGTTTAGAATTTTTTTTTTTTTTTTTGGTATTGGGGATGGAACCCAGGGGAACATTCCAAGCCCTTTTCAGGATCTCACTGAGTTCCCAAGTTACCCAAACTGGGTTCAAACTTAAAATCCTGCCTCAGCCTTCCAGAGTACTAGGATTATAGGCCTGTACTACCATGTGCCATATTCACAAATTTTACTCCTTCTAAAGCTTTCTGCCCAGAAAATGAATGACAAAGTACATATTGTAGAAATGTCAGCACATTTTGTTTAAGGGTGAGCACATGCGTAAAGGACTCTTAGCCCAGCACTCTGGGATGCTGAGACAGGAGGATCGAAAGTTGGAGCCCAGCTTGGGCAACTTAGCCGAGACCCTGTCACAAAATAAAAATAGAGAAAGGCCTGAGGATGCAGCACAGTGAACTGTGTAGGGCCTAGGTTCAATTCTCAGTACTGTAAAAACAAACAAAAAGCTTGCCTTATTTTAAATTTGTATTTTGGAATAAGGGGATACAGAATATACTTGAAATAACAGTAGCAAACATAAATACTTCTTCAGCATTACTATATACTATGTACTTGTGGTTCAGATTGAAACCT